ATTCCTTTCTTTACCAGAGTGTATCGTCTGTATTGAATCGTAGACACCGTAAAGCGAGTGAGAGAGGAATTTGGATCTTGAATCAGAACCGAGGATGTGGACGGTTCGGGAAGATGGGGGCGCTGGCTCCTCGTGGCCCATCATGACTGCCGGAACGTAGAACCTGTTCAACGAGTCGGCACGGAATATGGCGTAAAGCTCCTGGTCGTTCTGCTCGGGCATCATGCCCAGAACCTTCTTGAAGCCTTCCTTCTTTTCGTGAGTGATTCCTAATGTTGCCGCACCCGGAACGGTGGCGGCCATCTCTTTCGGCGCGATCTTGCCGGGCGAGAGGGCGGCTGGTGGCTGTCCAGATCCCAAGCCAGGACTTCGTGATGCGCCTACTGAGACGGATCTGATGGCTCCCCGGCCCGCGGACAGACTACCTTGGCTCCATCTTGCGTATGTGTGAGGTATCCGGGCGTGAAGCCGCGGTCGGGGTAGTGTAGCCACGGCGGTAGCCACGGTGGCAAAGGTCTGAGGGAGTCGGGTTCAATGCGTTGTCGGCATCGAGCCGTGGCTCTGCGCAAGGGGCCGTCGAGATGGGAAAGATGTAGGAGACAAGTGAGGAGGTCTGTAAGCCGTCGTCAGGTTGGTGTTACGCAGGCAAGGAAAGTCAGTAGTGGCTCGGGGACCGTGTTTTGGCTGGCGAGTAGGCCCCTATCGACCATGGGAATCGTGGAGTTTGGTGACGGGGACATTTTCTGCTCAAACCCACGCGACGAGGATGCAATCGAACCGTCAATTCCCGCCGGTGCCATCCTGCCAAGCTGACTAACCACGACCATCTTTGGTGTCAACTCCCTTAGATGCATATAGTCACATCATTGCATTCCATCCCCAAGTGAAATTTCACTTCAACGGGCAGCAGATACTGTTTCATCAAACATACGTTCATTGACAACACTTCCGGGGTCCATACCCAAGCAGAACCAGTATTTCCAAGGAGGCAAAGAAGCACCAAAATGGATGTCAAGACTATCATTCCCGACCTCGAAAGGCTGGACGGCACAATCGATGAGCTTGAGGAGTCACTGGAGCCCCTTCTCAAGGGTCTTCCTGAGATGTCCTCAGAACTCCCGTTACTGGACAAGGCAAAGCTCATGACCTTGACAGCTTACTCCATTGAGTCACTTCTTTTCTGTAGGTCTCGATTTTACTCACCTGATGAGCACCATATGCTGATCATGCGACAGCCGCTCTGCGTTTGCAAGGAGTCGATGCCGCCAACCACGAAGTCATGACTGAGCTCAAGCGAGTGAAGCAATACTTTGCCAAGATTCAGAAGGCCGAGGAGCCCCCGGCGCAGCGCACAACATCAGTAAATACGGAAGCAGCAACTCGCATTCTCAAAGCCGACCTTGTAAGTACAGTTATGAACCAGCGCGCCGCACAGCGCTTGCTAACAGACGTCAAGGGCAGCAATAGCAAAGACCTGAAGCAGAAGTTGGAGGAGAAGCTCGCGGAGGAGCGCGCCAAGGCTCTCCTCAATTCTATCCAAAATAGTAAGAGGCCTGCCCAGGACCACACAAGTGCCAGCCAAGGAAAGAAGCAACGAGGCGGCGCGTCCGCTTCCAATGGCGGATCTCAGCAGAAGAACAAGAAGCGGAAGGCTTGAGTTGCCAGCAAAGTGTGAGTATGACAACTGACCTTTGAGGCTCATGGGCTCCTCGTGAAGAATTGGGTCTCGCGAAGCCCATGGGTGGACACGAATGATACCCCTTGATCTTCACTGCAGGTACGCGGAGACTGCACAGCAGGAAAGACCTGACCGCTGCCGCGTATTCTGCCAGGCAGATCAATATGGAGAAAGCAGACTTGTGGAGGTGCTGCAAAAACATGACGCTTAGATGATGAATACGTCTTCATTCATTGTCAAACGGAGGTCACTCGCAATTCCCGCGACTGAAGTTTACAGAGTACTGGGCCCTTCATCTGAGTAGTCGATCAACAGCGGAGGAACGAATAGAATGAGAGAGTCGTCCAGCAAACAGCATGCAAAGAAAGGGACCAACACCGTAAAGCCCGTGTTCACTGTGACATCCTGCTATGTGCATAAACAAGGGTCACTTCCCCAGGAAGTCAAAAAATCAGAATTCCCCGCCACTCGATTGGCCACGGCACCGCCACAGACCCCCTTCACGCCTCCCAAAGCCGAGCTTCGTGTCCAGCATCTTCTTCCGCCATCCGTCCCTCACCTCCCATATTTCCCATCCACCGTCCGCAGCCTCAAGAGTGACCTCCTCGTCCGCATCAACACAAGCCAACACAACCACTCCCATCCTTCACACCCCCAACCAGCCAGCCAGCCAACATGCCTCGCGCGACACGATCCTCCGGCGGCCGCTCCGCCCCCTCGCGTCCTACCGTCGCCTCCAAGCCGGCGCCCGCCCCCCAGCAGACGCGCCCGGCGACGACCATGGCCGCGCCTCCTCCCCACGCCGCCGCTCCTCCCCCCGCCGCCGCGGCGCCCAGCCAGGGCCCCGGCCTCTTCGGCCAGATGGCCAGCACCGCCGCGTATGTTGATCCTCGAGCAGAGGGCCCCCGTGAGCCCCGGCTTTCGGCGGCCTCTGCCATCGTCGTCGCAGAGAAGAAGACGAAGAAGAGAAAGGCTGACAGAAATTCCTCACAGTGGTGTCGCGATCGGCTCCTCCGTCGGCCACGCCATCGGCGGCTTCTTCGGTGGAGGCTCCTCGCCCGCCCCGGCCGAGCAGAACCAGGTGCAGGCCGCGCAGCAGCAGACCGCCCCGAGCCAGGAGTACGGCGCCAACAACTGCCAGCCCGCCCTACAGCAGTTCACCAAGTGCATGGACGAGCAGTCTGGCAACATGCAGATCTGCAACTGGTACCTCGAGCAGCTGGTACGTTCTCCCTCGTTTCTCGCACAGAGAATAGGTGACATGCGACATGTGCTAATCCGTGTTGTGCGCTGTAGAAAGCCTGCCAGGCCGCTGCCAGCAACTACTAGACGGACGGATGGATGGGACCGGCGCACAGCTGTACGATATATATATATATACGCATGAAGATTCGGAACAAAGCCTTGGGGGAAGAACAGGGAGTGGCTCTTCGGGCATGATTGCCGATTTGGTGACGTGAAAAAGGTTATCTGCTAGATATTGCATCCCCACACTGCGGTGTACAATACAGGACATTCCGCTCCTCGTTTGCACGTTTTACCTGCTCTCCTGAAAATGGTAAAAAAAGAATGACCTTGCCACTGGTGTCGCGCCTCTCAATACTGTAGTACTTCATGTCTCCTCCTCGTCTGGGCCTCGGCTCAAAGTTTAGCTGCTCCATTGTCAGTCATGCTCATCTGGTCATGTCCAGCGGGCGGTCGTTGCTTACCGAATTCCATTGTACAGCTGCTGGTCCCTCTGGTTTGAGATTCCGCCAGCTTGG